GGAGCAGGGAATGGGATCATGGAGCCACCAGGTCATGGGGGTGCCAGTGGTCATGGTCCCACCATCCCTGTTGGATCTCGGGGAGCAGGGAATGGGATCATGGAGCCACCAGGTCATGGGGGTGCCAGTGGTCATGGTCCCACCATCCCTGTTGGATCTCGGGGAGCAGGGAATGGGATCATGGAGCCACCAGGTCATGGGGGTGCCAGTGGTCATGGTCCCACCATCCCTGTTGGATCTCGGGGAGCAGGGAATGGGATCATGGAGCCACCAGGTCATGGGGGTGTCAGTGGTCATGGTCCCACCATCCCTGTTGGATCTCGGGGAGCAGGGAATGGGATCATGGAGCCACCGAGTCATGGGAGACACCAAACGTCCGTCCTCATCCGTGTCTGACCCACCTCAGGACAGTCCTGGGGCCACCACACCACTCCCACGTCCAGCACCAGGGAGCCAAAATCTGGACCCACCAACCCTACGGGATATCTGGGATCAGGGAACGGGATCACGGAGCCACCGAGTCATGGGAGACGCCAAACTTCCATCCTCATCCGTGTTTGAGCCACCTCAGGACAGTCCTGGGGCCACCACACCTCTCCCATCTCCAGCACCACGGAGCGCCAACATCGGCACCCACCATCCTCATGGGGCTCCAAAACTCCACCGCGCGGCCACCGACGCCCCCCACCCTCCCTCACTTGTCCCTGGCGGCCGCCCGGGCGTGGATCCGCGCGTGCCGGGCCAGCGAGGACTTGTTGCTGAAGCTCTTGCCGCAGTGGCCGCAGGGGAAGGGCCGCTCGCCCGTGTGCGAGCGCTCGTGCACCGTCAGGTCCGCCAGGTACTTGAAGCTCTTGCCGCAGGCGCGGCAGGGGTAGGGCCGCTCCTGGGTGTGGCTGCGCCGGTGCATGGTCAGGTTGGACTGCTGGCTGAAGCGCTTGCCGCAGGCCGGGCACGGGTACGGCCGCTCGCCCGTGTGCGAGCGCCGGTGCTTGTTGAGGTCCGAGGGGTTGGTGAAGCTCTTGCCGCAGGCGCCGCAGCCGTAGGGCCGCTCGCCGGTGTGCAGCCGCCGGTGCGTGGTCAGCGTGGACAGGTGGCCGAAGCGCTTGCCGCAGGCGGCACAGCCGTACGGCTTCGCCCCCGTGTGCGTCCGCTCGTGGGTCTTCAGGTGGGTCAGGCGGCCGAAGCTCTTCCCGCACTGCGCGCAGGGGTACGGACGCGATGCCGGCGCCGCGCTCCCGGCGGCTGGTGCGCCTTTGGGGGGGTCCCGCTGGGTTTGGCGCCGGGGGGTTCCTCGCCGGACGGTGGGGGGGTGGTGGGGTTGGGGAAGGGGCGGCTCCGGGGCCGGGGTGGGATCTGTGGGAGGATAAGGAGGTCCATGGGTGGCTCCCGATGGGGAATGTCCGGCTCCGGCCCCTCCGCGCACCAATGGGGGTGGGGAGGGTCCAGGTGCCACCGCTGACCCCCCAAATCCACTCATGGGGGGTCATCAGGAGAAGGGTGAGGCTGGACCTCCAATCAGGAGGGGTTAGACCCAAGGAGATGGTTTGGAACCCAAGGAGATGGTTTGGAGCCCATTGAGATGGTTTGGAACCCAACGAGATGGTTTGGAGCCCATTGAGATGGTCTGGAACCCAACGAGATGGTTTGGAGCCCATTGAGATGGTCTGGAACCCAACGAGATGGTTTGGAGCCCATTGAGATGGTCTGGAACCCAACGAGATGGTTTGGAGCCCATTGAGATGGTTTGGAACCCAACGAGATGGTTTGGAACCCAATGAGATGGTTTGGAGCCCAATGAGATGGTTTGGAGCCCAAGGAGATGGTTTCGTGCCCACTGAGATGGTTTTGTGCCCATCGAGATGGTTTTGGAGCCCAAGGAGATGGTTTTGTGCCCACTGAGATGGTTTTGTGCCCATTGAGATGGTTTTGTGCCCATTGAGATGGTTTGGAGCCCAAGGAGATGGTTTTGTGCCCA